TTAAAAATAAAAGCTGATGATACCCATTTACAACAACAAACCATATATCTACACTTATACATATTATGGATGACGTCATTTGTCATGCATCATGTTGTTCTTGTCATTGTAATCGAATATTTCATATCAATAATTTAAAACTAATATAATTATATTATAAGATCAAATTATTAAAATAATAATGTATTGTTAAAAATAAATTATAATTTCACACTGTACATCCATAACTAATAGCAAGCATACAATAGATTCTTTGGTTGTCATTTTCTAAACAAATGCTTGGTATATGTTCTTATTAAGTGAGATATAGAATATATTTTTTGAGAATATTTTAATGTAAAAATTAATATAATTTATTTTTTATTTATCTTCATATTATTTATCTTTAATTAGAATGATCTTTGTATTTCATGTATTGTTTATATAGATTATATACGTGATTTTCTGAAAACAAAATAAAAATATATCTATTTTGTATAAAACACTTAAAGTTATTAAATATTTTATATATTAAAAAATAATTTTATTAATTATATGATAAAAAATGTTGAATAAATAAACAATTTATTAGTTTGTGTGATGCAGATGCATGATGGTGTACACGGCAAAGATTGTTAGTGCTCTCCAAAATTAGAAGCAATTAGTTTCTTTTTATATTGGGTAAATTAGATAATGTCTCGTTGAATTTGACTCTTTCTCCTATTTTTTTCATTATACTTTCAAAATTTTTAATTTATTCACTAAACTTTCGAATTGTTAATGCTTTGATCAGACTAAATTAATTTATTATTATTTTCTTATGACATGATATTTTTGTTATTATTTAATATAAAAATAGTTTAAAATAGAAAAAAGAAAAAAGGTGGTCGGACGCCATCGTCGACCGTCGTAAATGGTGGTCGTTCTGTCCCGAATTTCATGGGCCCTTCGCCTCGACACCCTGAGTTTGAATCTGACCTCCATTTTTTCGGAACTTGCTCTAAAATCCATGAATTGGAGATCGAAAGTGAGTAAGTCGAAATGTTTCGGTCGAGATTCATGAGTTTTGGGACATTTTCGGTGAAACAACCACTAGATTCGAACTCAGTGGTTCGAGGCGAATCAACCCATGAAAAACTGCCATCCATCTACGGCAATCGACGGCTGCCGATGGTGATGTTCGACCACATTCTATTTTTTATTTTTTATTTTAATTATTTTCATATTAAATAATAAGAAAAATACCACATCATACAAAAATAATAATAAAATAAATCATAGTGATTAAAAAAGAGCAATTCGAAAGTTTAGTGAGTAAATTAAAAAAATTAAAAGTACAACGAGTAAAATAGGGGAGAGAGTAAAATTCAACGAGGAATAAATATATTTTACCCTTTTATAATACATATATGAGAAAAATATTCAATGCACAAATTTGATCAGTTTTAATTTATATAAATTTATTTATTTTAATAATTTATGTATTATTTATAGTTTAATATTTTAAATTTTAGATTTTAATGTTCGCAATTTTAAATTTATTAAACTTGTATATAAAAAAGTACTCATACATATGAATTTCAGAACGGATAAATTATACAGTTAATCATGCAATTTTATATTTTGTGCTAATTTTAATATTAAATTTAAAACATTTTAATATAAATATTGAACTTTGATTTTAGATCCAATTAAAATATCGAACTATAAAAATCAAAATGACGTGGCAATATCACAGTTTTAATTTATCAGGAATTTTTCATCCTTCCTAATCATGGTTAGGAATCGTCGTTATCTTTCGTGGTTATTATAAATGTCGATGAGCTCGTTTCATCGTCCTCTGTCACTTTGTCGTTAGATTTTGTTAAAGTCTCGTTAAAAAATAAAACGTAAAATATTTATTATTTTTTAATATTAAAACTCTTTTTAATTTTAAAAAATTAAAGTGTTTATTTAAAAATCTAAACAACAATTTTTAAAAGGATGTGAACTGAAATTATAATTAAACAAACAATGAAAATCAAAGCACCTTTTTTCAAGTGAATATGATGCATGGGACTCCACTCGACAAAGAACATTTGTGGGCATCAAATTACAAAGACCATGACTTATACATAAATATAATATCACTTTATGAATTCTCACGGTTGATTTAATTGCACTGGTTCACTTGGTCTGTGTTACGAGGAGGGATGGGCACGGGACTTGAATCACATGGGTTTCGATCTGATCATATCTAAGTTAATTTTTTTAGTTTGGGTCGAATCGAACTTTTTAGAGATTATATTCAAGTCAAATTGAGTTCGAGTTTAAAATTAAAAATATCCGACCCGAAAAATAGTTTTATCTTATATATATTTTTTAAGTAGATTATTTCAGGTCGGATTTAAGTTTTATCTAAAAATGAAGGATCAAGTTCAAGTCGACTGGAAGATGTATAATTTTTGGGTTAAGCTCGGATAGGAAGAAGGGTGTATACTTTTTTAGTCAAGTCAAGTTGACCAAAAATTCGACTCAATCACACTATTATGAAATCACTGTCTCTTCGTGTTTCATTTTGGATATAAATAGTGTGTGATGAACTATTCATAAACCGTTCAAATAATGTTCATTAAGTTTTTTTTTATTAATATGGGATAAGTACAATGTAATATCTATTTAAAGATAATCTCAATCATTTGACATTGAACGCTCAAATCAGAACCTCGAGGAATAACAATAATTTCTTTACCAATAGGGTCAGTCGATTTGTTAAATAAATAAATAAATATGAATATGATTTCATGTTTATCTAATAAATGAACAAACGTAATAAACTCATTTATTAACTTGTTTATAAGCTTGATTATCTGGTTCTTGTTTTTCTTTTACTTTTTATATTAACCTAAAGGGCTAAAGAACTAGTGACTTAACTTTATTATTTTTGAACATATAAACGAACATGTTCATGAATAATAAATAAATAAACGAACATTTTCAAAAATAAATAAATGAACATGAACATAATATAAAAAAATTAAATGAATATGAACTGAACATGAGCACCTTTAAAAATAAACAAATAAACATGAACACAATCTTATTCATTCAAGCTCGGATCGTTTACACACCTAATATTGACCCTATGATGTGTAAATGCTTTTGAAGATCAAGCAGTTCATTGTGCCAACAATTGGTGCAAAACCACATGAACTAAATGCATAAAAATGGACCTATAAACTTAACTAAACTAATTCAATACAATGAAACTATACCAGAGGAGCCAACAGAGAAGGCACCACAAAACTCTACCAGTGCAAATCGAAAAGAACTCACCTTTCTCTTTGCTAGCTACGAACATTCATCGATGCCGATCGATCACGATCGGCGAAACAAGGCTCTCTTCATAGACTTCTGCTCGAGAAACTAAAGTAAAACCCTTATCTGGAAATCTAGGAACCCTTAGCTTATCCTCCTTGGGATTATATACAACTAAAGTCGCCCCAAAACACAACAAGATTTCATCACTTACTGATGTAAACGAAGGTGTACAATGCGTACAAAACCGAAGATGCTGAGCGTATGAAATAGTGATCAGCTTAGTCCAAGACGCCGTCTTTCCATACTCTTTCATAACCCAAACATCAGCATACGAACAAGCGTGGTGACACAGCACACAAAGACAACCATCCAAGACCCCCAATGTCCTTTCACCCACCCCGCCGCCGCCATAACACGGTTGCATCACTTCATCGTAAGTCTCCCGAGCCAAATCGAGGGAGATGATAGTGAACGGAAAACCTGCCTTTCGGCTACCGTAAACAGACCAATTCAAGGTCCCATCGACATGTTTCACACCTTCATTACGAGAGACACGGAATGGGAAATCATGAATCCTTCTCCAACGATTAGTCCTCGATGAATAAACGTCAACTATACTCTTGTAACCATCTTCAATGGCCTTATCTGGATGACTACAAACTCTAACAACCTTGTAATCATCCTTGGAAGCATCAAAACCAAACCCATAGACAAGACAAATACCCGTCTTACAATTTAAATCAGGCAACCTTTTGGAAACCCTTAAAGCGGGGTTTAATAAAAACAGTGTATATTTTGATAAAAACTCAGCATCTTCCCTAATGGCTATGCAGATCAAGCCATCGCATGAACCCACAATCTTAATAGATCTATAGGACCTCTCCAAAGGGCATTCAATTCTAGTGGCTTTAACAAATGGGTCTTCGTGTATAGCGTTAAGAGGGAACGATCCGATGATAAATGGGGATCCGGAGCACGCAGTCTTGATTAAGACTCGTTTTTCAGAGAACTTGCGGTCGTTTTGGATTCTTTTGAGGTGTTTTCTGATGAAGAACGGGTCGGATATGAGGGATTTCCAGGATTTGGAAACGCAGCCGAAACGGAGAAGTGATTTTACGGGCAAATCCGAGAGGATTTCAATAATGATCTCTTCTGGAATGGACTGCGGAGAAAGGCTGGCGTTTCTCGACCGTGAGCGGCTCTCGTGATGCGGTGATTCTGGGCGGTGGCTTTGTTCATTTGAAACGGGTGAGTGCAGTTCGTAACTCGGTGGATCGAGTCGATGATTTGGATGACTTGGGGCTGATCCTTGGCTTTGGTTTTCCATTTCCTTTTTAAACAAAAGAACCCAAAAAGCTTTCCCAAAATCAATTTTGAAAACCATTTATCCACCTGCATCCAAGAAGGTATGGCAGGCTAAATACTCTTCTCCCCGAAAAGTAAGTACAACAATTTCAACAATTTTCTGGTAAAGGATAAGAACAATTTTGATTTAGCCGAAACACTTGAAGAGAAAGGTGATAATTCAATTCAACAAGTATAAAAACAATTTTGATTTCAATGAAATTCTCGAGTAGCAAGATGATGATCCAATCAACAAAGACAAAATTTCAGCTAGATTGAAATTCTAATTGGATATAGATTTGAACTATTCAACTTGCTTGACAGTAAAGAGTCCAAGCTAAGCAAAACATACAAAATAAAACAAACACCGCTACCAAAAAAAAAAAAAAGCCGACTAATCGGCTTCTCCACAACCCAACTAAAACCCATGAAAGCTTCAAGTGGCGAAGACCAACAGAGCAAAATAAAACCTGTTCACATTCCAACCAGACGGAGAGAGAGCACCCTTCGATGGCTCCAACCCGTGCCTATCCTCGGCAGCTTTATCTTCCACTGCTCGAGGAGCCTCCTCGATCCAGAACCGATCGTCTTCATCGTGATTATGCATCGTCGCCAACAAGTGTGCTGCTTTGTTATCCGACCGGTGGATATGCTGATAGGTACATGCATGTAATCCCCTCGCTTTGCCTTTTGCTTCCCATATTAGCGCACTGATCTCAGAGTAATCAGTATTCTCTGAAGATAACTTTGAGATCACAGCTTTCGAATCCCCCTCGATCACCACATCCCTGAAACTAAACATATAGTTCAATACAACAATGATCATAATGTATAACACGGATACCGGTTTTCTTGCATCAGCAAACTAGAAGAGAATCAGATATCAATCAACTATGCCGATAGGAACTATCACAAATCCTAAACCAAGATGTTGTCTCATCCCATAAACTTCAATATGATGAAACTAAACCAAATAGATGAACCAACAGAGAAGGTACCAAAACACCACAAATTCGTAAGAAATCTCAAATTTACCTTTCTCTTTGTTCATGATAGCTATTAACTCCATTCATCTATACCGAAGCAAGGCTCTCTTCATAGACTTCTGCTTGATCGATATACAAAATAGCATCATAAGGAATCACAGGGATCCTAAAAGCATTCTCCTTGGAATCGTATAGAACTAAATTCATCTCGAAATGAAACAAAATCACACCAGTTTCTGATACAAACAATGGTGCGGCATAGAATTCGGCTCCCGGATACGGCAGGTACGGAATAGTAATCAGCTTAGTCCAAGACTCTCTCTTTCATACTCTTTCATAACCCAAATCACAGTATACAATCCCCCGTAGTCACAAAGCACACAAAGACATCCATCCAATATCCCTAATGTCCTTTCGAGGCATTGCCGTAACATGGTTGCGGAACTTCATTATACATTTCCTGAGCCAAAGCAAGGGAGACAATAGTACACGAAAAGCCCTCTTGTCCATGAAAAACAACCCAATTCAAATTCCCATCAACATGCTTCGCAGCTTCATTACAAGGAACCCCAAAGGGGAAATCTTGAATCCTCCTCCAACTATTAGTCGTCAATGAATAAACCGTAACTCTAAGCATCTTCAAAACCCTTGCTTTGATAACAAAATACCATAACAACCTTATAATCATCCAGGGAAGCATCAAAACCAAACCCATAAACAGTATAGCAACCCTTCCTTTTCTTAAACCCTAAATCAGGCAACCTTTTGGAAACCCTTAAAACGGGGTTTAATAAAATGACTTTATCTTGTCTAATAGCTATGCAAATTAAGCCATTACATGAACCCACAACCCAATCACAACGGGAATCGTTCTTCAACGGGTATTCGATTTCTATGGTAGTGACAATTGGGTCATGGAAAATAGAGTTAAGAAAGCATGATTTGAAGCTATATTGGGTTTGGGTGATTGCGGTGTTGATTAAGACTTGTTTTTAGAGAACATTGGGGTCGTTTTTTTAGGTGTTTTTGATGAAGAAAGGGTCGGATATGAGAATTTTCCAGGATTTGGGAACGCACCTGAAACGGTGGAGGGATTTGACGGGCAAATTTGAGAGGATCTCGACGATGATTTCCAGTGGAAACGACGGTGGAGGAAGGTTGGCGTTTATCGAGCTTTTGGGGATTGAGCTGACACCTCGTGGCTTTCGTGCAGCGGTGATTCTTGGTGGTTCCGTTTCTGGGTTTGTTCAGCTGAAGAGGTTGATGGCAGTTCGTAAGTCGGTGAGCTGACTCGTTGATTTGGTGGACTCGGGGCTGATTCTTGGTTTTCCATTTCTCTGCATTTATTTGTTGAGTCACTTTCATACATAGAAGTTTTTTTTTTTTGAAGTAAATGGAGCATCCAAGTAGAAGACGACGATAAGTACAGTTTTTATTTGGGTAAATTACACATTTGGTAACTAAACTTGACTCTATCTACTGTTTCACTCATTATATTTTTAATTTACTGATTCAACTTTATAGATTGAATTATTATTATTAAATAATTAACGGTGTTATGATATGATCATATTATTATTAAAAGGAAGTTGTTTTAGTCTAAATTTAATTTTTTTAGGAATTCAGAACGACATAGTTTTAATATAAGTTATCATTTCTTTTGTATATTTTAACTCTCAATATCTTATTTTGGAGCAAACAAGTCCTTGTATAGAACAAAATTATTAGTCAACAAATAATTAATATAGTAAAATATGAGTCTTTTTGTTCTAAAATATAATATTGATGGGCCAAATGCTTTAAAATAAATAAAGTCTAAAGTTAGTATTTTAATTAGATGTTATGATTTTTTTGTCCTAAAATAAAATATTAACGGTCAAAATATTTTAAAAGAGAAGAAATAAAATAATTATTAAATCTTACGTTAAAGGTGTTTTTAAAGATATATCTATTTTAATATATTAATTATATAAATAAATAATCATATTTATAAATGAGTTGACTTATTAACCTTAGTGTCAAATAAAAGTACAAATGAACTGAATTATTTCAAAGAAACTTATAGTCAATAATAAAATAAAAATTGAAGCTAACGAATAATTAATAAATTGAATAAGCTCTATTTTGGATTAAAAACTAATGAATATTTTTTTTTAATTTTATTTATTTATTCAATAAAAGTAATGAATATTTTAATTAAAAACGATGATTAAATTGATTGTTTGGTTGAGTCAAACTAACAAACTGGAGCTCATGGACCTCCCTCGTAGGAATTTTCTAGCTAATTAAAATCAAATGGGTAAATTATGTGTTTAATACCTAAATTATTAATTTTGATCCCTTTTAATACTTAAACTTTTAATTTTTTTCAAAACATACCTAAAATTTAATTTTCGTTTCATTTTAATACTTTGCTGGTAAAAGTTTTAATTTTTGTTTCATTTTAATACCACTTCAAAATTTAACGTTAAGTTTCAAAAAATCCAAAGTTTAAGTACTAAAACAGATCGAAACTGATAGTTTAAGTATTAAACACGTTATGTTTTTAACCACGGAGTACTAAAATGAAATGAAAACTAAACGTTAGGCATATTTTTGAAAAAATTTAAAAGATTAAGTACTAAAACGGATCAAAGTTGGGAGTTTAAGTACTAAATGCGTAATTTACCCGGATCAAAATGATGTTATGACATGAGCTTTAGCATATGCAGTCCCCATTAAAATCAAAATCAAACATAAATTACAAAAAGGAAAGAAAAAACAACTTATTTATACACATATTATATGAAATACAGTAGTGAGATTTCACAAACACTGACCAAGAGTGGTGGAAATCTTATTATTGGTGGTATAAGCTGCATTCATCTTGCTGTCCAAAATCCTCAGGCTCTGCTTAAGAATGTCCATCTCTCGTTTCCTCTCAAACCCTTCCTTCTCCATTGAAGCTATTCGAGCTCTCATGGCTTCTATGGTCTCTTCCTTGATCTTGAGTTCCTCCTTCATCTCTTCTATCATGTCCTCTTCCTCTACCTTCCAATAGATTGCATCCCCTGCACAAATAATTTCAACACTTTTTAACAATATACCCATCAAGCTTTCCAAAATGAGTATCATATCCATGGTCACATTTATGTTGTGGGTAAAATACGTAATTGGTTACTCGACTATTCTCACGGTTTCGTTTTAGTTATATAATATTTTCTTAAAGGATAAATTACATCGTTCCTCACTGAATTATATTATCTCTCATATTTTCTCCACCCAACTTTCAATTTGTTCACTGAACTTTACAAATTGAATCATTTTGCTCACTCTGTTGTTAACTATTTAACGACGTTATGACATGGCACAAACATCAAAACAACATCGTTTTGAAAAACTAAAATATACACCAAAACAATATCGTTTCAAATCTTATATTGAAAGTACGGTGAGTAAATTATGAGAGATAGTAACGTTCATGGAGACATTGTGTAATTTACCCTTTTTCCTTCTCTTCTTCATTTTCTCTCTATCGGCCACCATGTCATTTCCATTCCGCCTACCGTTGCTGAAGGTGGTCGTTTGGTCCCAAATTTTATGGGTTGATTCATCTCGACCCCTTAAGTCCGAATCTAGTGGTTATTTCACCGCAAAATGTCCAAAAACCCGTGAATGTCGACTGACTTCCTCACTTTCAATTTCAAATTTGTGAACTTCAAAGCAACTTCCGATAAAATGAAGGTCGGTTTCGGACTCACAATGTCAAAATAAAGTGACCTATGAAATTTAGAACTAAATGACTGTTTTTATTTAATATTATTAATTAATTATTTTATATTAAAAATAATTTAAAATGCCACATCATCCAGGCGTTAGAGAGAAAACGGGAAAGTAAGCAAAATGATTCAATCTATAAGTTCAGTGAGCAAATTGAAAGTTGGGTGAAGAAAATAAGAGATACAGTATAATTCAGTGAGAAACAATATAATTTATCGTTTTCTTAAATTACACTTAAAGTTATTTTTTCCCGTTTTGGTAACCCGCAAATTAGAAAAATAAATAAATGTTGACGTGATAAATCTTATTATATTTTTCAATGATGAAGTGACATTATCTTACGGTGACACGTCAACATCACCGTTAAATTTTTAAAGATGGGTGAACAAAGCGTAACTTCGTGTATGACTTTGAAAAAAATAATAGTTAGACGATTAAAACGAAATCACAAGATTAATTATGTGACTAAATACATAGTTTATATTTTTTATTTTGGGCACGAACCAAGTGGTCTCAGTGATAAAATAATTGTTGTTATTCCTTGAGATCCCGATGTCGAACATCAAGAATGCCAAAGATGTGAGTATTCAATATCAAAGTGTTGAGAATTATCTTTAAAAGAAAACCTTTTCCCAACTCGTGTCGTCCCTCACCCTCCCATACTTGGTGCTTACTTTTCACTTTTCTATGGCCAAACGGTTGATTACCACAGTCGACTAAACGATCGATTATCACAATCAACCAAATGAGTTTTAAGGATAAAGGATTGAATTGTAGAGATTTGAGAATTTTGAGTTTTACAATGATCGCAAGGTTTATGACCGATTAGTGAGTAGTCGACCATGTATAGGTGACATTTCGTCGATGGATGGGTGATCGGAGATGACTGACAGTTAGAGTAAAGAGGACTAGAATGAGAGATTTTAGGAATTTGAGGTTATTTTAAGACTTTAATTTTTTCTAAGATTTTTTTAAAATATTAATTTTATGTTTTTAAAAAATATATATAAAAATGTATAAAATGACATGTTTCATTTAACGAAACATTTTTACCGGTTGTTATGACACGACATCTAAAATTATAACGTCAAAAATTTGAATAAATCAAAAGAATTTGAACACCCGTTAAAAAATAGAATAATTTAAACACTTATTTTATAGTTAAACCTTGTATTTTCTATAATTGAAAGTAGGGATCGCCATGGTTGGGTCACGTGGTGTTTAGTACACACAAAACCGATTAAAATATGGGTAAAGTATAGTAATGGTCACTGAACATTTCTGAAGCTTGCATTTAGGTCCCCAACATTTAAAACTTGCAATACAGTCCCCCAACATTTATTCCGTTTGCAATATGATCCCCCAACTTAAACCACAGTTAGAAAATTAGGATAAATTATATAAACGGTCATTGAACTTTTCAGTCACTTGAATTTAGGTCCCCCAACTTTTAAAACTTGCAAAACAGTCATCAATTTCATTCTAAACCCCAATTTCCAAAGTAATTCAATTTTATTCTAAACCCTAAATTCTAAAATACTTCAATTAAATTCTAAAATACTTCAATTTAAGGTAATATAGGCTTGAAGAAAGAGTTCAAGGCACAGACACAACGAATAAAAATATATTTATATAAATGTATATTTATATTTAGATGTATAAATAAAAAATATATTCATATATTAATGTATGAATCATTTATATTTTTTGAATATTTTATTTTTAATAAGAAATTAAAATTATTAATTATATTAGAAATACTCAACTTAAGATTATATATATAATCATGAATTATAAATATGAAAAATATAATTATTAAATTTAGTTTAAAAATATATAAATCTTAAATTTATTCTTTTAAAATATTGTATCAACTAATATTTAAAAAATATATTAAATCTATCAAACAATTTATCAAATATAATATTTTTTTATTGTAAAAATATAATATTTTCCCATCATTTATTGCTTTCAAATTTTTTGCCGAAGTTCAAATCTCATTATTTCCATTTTACATTATATTCTTTTTTTTCTGGCATTGATCATACTATTAGTATATGTATTATTGTATATTTCTTAACACAAACGATGGTGTTAGCTTAGTGGCTCCACCCTGTATCTTTCATTTGCGTGACTCATGTTTGAGTTTGCCCAAGACCCAAATTTTACTTCTTTGTAACTTAATTTTCTTCTAATTAGGAGGTGACATGTGTCACCAATAACACATATCATGATCATGTGTTAACACATGTCAGATCCTGATTAAATGATTAATTTATTAAATTTTATTTAATTTAGGACCAAATTGATAGCATATATAAATAATTAGGTGGTAACATGTGTCACGAATGACACGTGTCATGATCATGTGCTAACACATGTCAGATCCTAATTAAATGATTAATTTATTAAATTTTATTTAATTTAGGACCAAATTGATTATATAAATAATAAAGACTGAATGTATAATAATACCAATTCCTTTTAACTGCCACATCATCATTTTTATCAATTGGTAACGACTAGTGGCTTAGTTGAAACAGTTAAATAATTATGTGGTATGATTGATAAATTTAAAAGATCGATGACAAAAGTAAAAAGGGCTAGATAGTTAAGTTGTCAACCGAGTAGTTTACACTTTTATTTATACGTCAAAATAACATTTTATAAATTTAAAATTCGAATTATTTTCAACCTCTTCTATATCCTAACTACTTTTTTTAATTAAAAAATTTCTTCAACAGATAAGAATTATACTATTATATTTATATAAAAAATACGTATCACATGAAATAAGATGAAATTAAATAATAATAAATTTGACATAATTGAATTTAATTTAAGTATTTTGGAATTTAGGGTTTAGAATAAAATTGAATTACTTGGAAATTGGGGTTTAGAATGAAATTGATGACTGTTTTGCAAGTTTTAAAAGTTGGGGGACCTAAATTCAAGTGACTGAAAAGTTCAATGACCATTTATATAATTTATCCTAATTTTCTAACTGTGGTTTAAGTTGGGGGACCATATTGCAAACGGAATAAATGTTGGGGGACTGTATTGCAAGTTTTAAATGTTGGGGGACCTAAATGCAAGCTTCAGAAATGTTCAGTGACCATTACTATACTTTACCCTTAAAATATTATGCCCTTAGACCATCACTAAGAATGACAACGGATTGGGTTCGGGGCGGGTTTTGCTCGCCCTGTCCCCAAACCCGAAATAAATTCCCGTCCTCGACGAGTTTTTTATTGGGGCGCCCCGTCTGAATTTTTTTTTGCTCCGTCCTCGAATCCGACCCGAAATATTATACCCAAACCCGAAAATATTTTATATATAATTAATATAAAAAACATAAAATATTATATATATAATTAACATAAAAAATATAAAATATTATATATATATAATCGGGGCGGGGCGGGGATACCTTGCCCCGAACCCGACCCGAAAAAATCCCTGAAAAAAATCCCCGATACCCGACCTGAACTTGACCGGGTTTTGGGTTTCCCCGTCGGGTTCGGGTCATACTGCCATCCCTAACCATCACTCAACCCAACTTTAGAAAACTTCTATTTGACTTAATTTTTGGGTAAAGATTCGATCTAACACGAATATTTATTTTTTAAAAATATTTTCGTTAAATAAAATGTAGGATTTAAATTAAAAATATATATGTGAAATATTATAATTATTTATAAATATATAAAAAATAATTATATTATTTTTTCAGATCGAGTCATTTTTTAATCTAAACTCGAATTTAATTCGGACTAGTCTATTTTGATAAAATATCCTTTTAAAAGAACTTATACAAATTCAATTTTTCTTATTATTTATCAAAAGGATAAGTATACTAATATTTTTTTTTGGGGGGGGGATTGACATGATATCATAAATAGTCCTTAATGTTTACCAATATGATCATTTTGATCCTTTTTCTTTTTTAGTATTTTAGCCCAAAATTTGATTTTGGGGCAAACTACTCCACCTATAAATGAAAACCATCGGTTAACACATGAATAACGTTATAAAAAAAGAGACTCTATTAACTTAAAACGATAAATGGAGGGTTAAAATGTCAAAAAAAATAAGAGACAAAATAATTATTTTATTAAATGTTAAGTGTATTTTTATCATAAAATGAAATATTAGAATCATAATTTTTTTAAAAATAATATAGAATAAAATAACTATTTCGATAAATATTAAGGACTAATGTTAACATTATACTAAAAAAATTAACCCATTAGAATTTGGTATGGTGATAATAATATAACTCTACCTTTTGAAGACTTTTATCTTTAATATTTTTAATATTCGAAACAGATAATTTAAGGAATAATAATAATTCGTTGATTAGCCATCGTTAGGGCTGTTCATTCGGTTAATTCGATGGTCGAACCGACCGAATTATCATTAACCGAATTAATCGAATTTTTTTCTTTAACCGTTAATCGAACCGAATTTTTTTTCGAAAATATTAACCGAACCGACTAAATTTCAGTTAATTCGATTAATTTTCGAATTAACCGATTTTTTTTTTAAATTTCTAATTTATATAAAAATTAAATATTTTATAATTAAAAAAATAATTTATAATTAATTTAAATAATATATAATTATAAAATATAAATTTTTTAATTAATTAATATTGATTTAAGTTTAAAAATTATTAGATATTAAATTATTAATTAGATTTTAAATGGTTTAGGATGAGCTCATATGTTATATATAATATATTTAAAATTTAAAATTTTATTTCGGTTAATTAATCAATTTCGAATCAAATTAACTGTTAACCGAATATCCAAAAAAACCTTAACCGTTCCCGATCGAACTAATTCGGTGACCGACTAAATTAACCGAATAAATTTTATTCGATCGATTAATTCCATTAAAACCGAATTTTAAACACATTTACCCGTCGCTTGGTTAGTGCAGAGAATAAAACATTTTCTGAAAAGGGAATATACCTTCAATTTTTATATCGTTAGAAGAAGCAATCCAAAATTCAAAACCATGAAACAAGCACGAAGATTAAGAAAGAGAGAGGGAACTGTACCATGAGTTCTTTGAATAAGATCATCAAGCTCGGTCTTAATGGCAAGATACAGTTGCTTCCATTTCTCCACAACTTCATCTCTCCTAGCCCTCTCCTCCTTCATCTGCTCCAACAAGAAACTCGTCCCCAACAACGGCCACCCCTTATCACTCTTCTGAACCGCCATCGAATCCCTTTCCATCCCCTTAATCTTCTCCTCTTTCTCCTCCACCATCTTCCTCAACGCCTTCACTTCCTCCTTCAGCTTCCTCTTCTCCTTCGCCCACTCCGCCTCTTTGCACGCCAACACCATCGCCGCTCCTCTCTCGCTGTTGAGAAGCCTCATCTTCTCCGTCGGATACCTCACGCTCCTCCCCTCGTGGCAAGGCTTCCGCCTTTCCTTGCTGCCGGAAGCGCCCATTGTTGAAGAGGATGGCGGGTCTTAGGGATTTTTGGGGAATTAAGAGAAAACCGAGTGTGTGAAGGACATAAATTCCCACACCGACTGGCTCCGGCTCAATTAATGAAGAGAAAGAATCCCCACATGGACATTTTTCAACACTGTTTGTGATTGATTTAACTTATCTGCGCAGTAAACATTAGAGAAAACACACGCTCGAAATAATAACAACAATAAAACTCAATTTCCATATGTAATGGGATAAGGGGAGATAACGTAATAGGTTGTCCTCAACGTCAGGTTGAGAGTAACTTTCGTGAAAGACCTCCGACAATCAGAAAATTAAAAATATAGATAAAATACAAAATATGTATAAATAAATACATAAAAATACATAGGAGATGAATGCACAAGACAATATATATAATCTTTTATTAAAATTTATATAGTAGATTACAAATTAATATTTTAGTCATCATAAAAACTTAAATAATTATTACGTCAGCATTAAAGTTTAAAGACACTACAATAAATATAGTAGATTGTTAATGAATCTTTTAGTTACCCTAAAAACCTAAATAATTATTACGTAACATTAATGGGTTGATTTTGCCCAAATTCGTCTATGGACATTTGTAGAGATGGGCATGGAATTCGAATTCGATGGGTTTCGATTCGATTGAGTCAGTTTTTTTTATCGGGGTCAGGTCGGGTTAATTTGAGTTTAGGGTGAAAAATATCTAATCCAAATAAAAAAAATATAATTTTACCCGATCCGATCGAGTCTGTTTTTTTTCAATTAAGTCACTGTTTTTATTGAATGAAAATAATATTTTTATTATTTCAGGTCTGGTCAGGTCGAGTGAAATCTTGTTTCATGTGGGTTGAGTCGGATATCGGGTGGAGGATTTATTGTTCTTAAGTCGGGTCAGGTGGACCAAAAACCCGACCCAACGCGACCCATGCCCATCCCTAGACATATGGTATATATTATTTTAATTTTAAAATTTTAACATGTTTTAAATAATACATGAATAATATGATTAAAGATAGATATAGAACAAGTCAAGTCGAGTCGAGTTTTTAACTTATTTGAATTTAGTTTAACTATTATATTCTATTCCCGTCAGTTGATCCAATCAAATTGAAAAAACTTTATATGACTTAAAATTTGATAAAATTTTAAAGATAAATTTATACTTGATTTTACATAAATATATATTATTTTATTTTATAAAATAGGAATTTTATTAAAAATATAAAAAAAATATCATTACAATTATCTATAAATATATAAGAAATAATTATTAACCCTAAAACCAAATATAAGCCTAACAAAATTTTCTTTACTAAGAAATTCTTATATAACCATATCAAAATGTATCGAGTTCAAGTATCACGTTTATCTCTAAATATGATGGCAAAATGGCTGAAATAATGGTCACTACAAGAAAATGAACCTTTCGTGACAGTGGAAATGGTCACTAAAATATTAAATTTAAACACTAAAATACATAGTGATAAATTTGTTACATCGTCACTTGTCGTTCCTAATAACTCCGGCGCTATTGTATCAGTAACAATTATTCTAAAAATTGTCACATTGTTAAATTTTTTGTTACCATATATTCGCCAATGTTATCAATAGAAATTGTGATAAATTTGTTCGTCACTGAAAATATATTTTGTGACCATTAATGTTGTCACACTAAAGATTTTCTATTAACCAAATGCTCGACACCAGTTTCAATAAAATATGACTCTGTTTAACACTAAAAATCTATTTTGCAACCGTTAATATTGTCACACTAAGTATTATTTTAATGATCAAATGGTTGACACTATTCTCAATATAAATTGTGATAGTTTTGTTGGACGCTAAATTTATTTTGTGATCATCTATGTTGTCGTACTAAGTATTGTTTTAATGACCAAATTTTCAAAACTATTATTAATAAAAATTATGATAACAATCAAAATTCTATATGGGAATTCAGAAGAAGAAGAAAAGAGAGAGAGAGCACCTTGTTATCATGAAAACTCTGGCTGCTACCATAGTCACAACATGAATCAAAGAGGATATGAAATGAGACTAGGGATGGGTATTGGTCGGGCTGGGTTAGATTATTTGTTCATCCGACCTTACTCGAGAATAATGATTTATCCACCCGAAATCTGACCGACCTACATGATATATACCATCAACCTGACTTGAACCTGATCCGACTTTTTGAAATAAAATCCGAACTCGACCTGTTCTGACCAAAAATAATAATAATAATTTATTTTTATTCAATAAAAGCAATTATTTAATTAAAAATAATATATAAATTGATATTATTGTAATTATTCATAGATATATAAGGTAAAATTATATTTTTTTTCAGGGTCAGACCGAATATTTTTCATCCTAAACCCGAATATAACCCGATCCGAATATTACCTTTTAAAAAAAGACACAATCCGATCCGAATCCGAATTTAAAAAAAAAACTCAATCCGATTGAGTCAAGTCGGATAGAAACCTATCATGCTCGATAAAAAATAACTCCAATTGTATAACTCTAATGCCAAAAAGATTCTTTGATATCTATATTAAATTTACAAACAAAGGTTACTTGAAAAAGGCCAAAAGTTGAAAGTAGGATACGATGGCTATCAGTTTCATTGCCAAACAAAAAATCTACCCTTCATTTCCAATCTTGTTCCACCAACAATTTACTGTTTGTCTGCAAATAATTTTCTTTTTCCAGGGAATTTAGCGAGATATTCTCTCAGAAAATCCCGCTATCCAATCAGGATTTTCTTGGGAAAATCCCTCCACCCCTGGAGTTTGGGGTAGTAAAACAGATGTTGACATCTCTTGCATTTTTCAAAGCTTACCAAAATCAACATAATTTCATGTACCAAACAAAACTCATTTATGATCACAGCTTACTCACCATTGGATTCCCTGACCCAAAAATGAAAGAACTCTCAGTTCATTGTATGTAGGGGTGTAAACGAGCCGAGTCGAGTTCGAGTATTGCTGAGCTCGACTCGACTCGAAAATTCTAAAATGGAGTTCGACTTGACTCGAAAACTCGCGAGCTTAAAATTTCAAGCTCGACTCGAACTCGAAATCCTGAACTGAAGCTCGTGAGCAGCTCGAAAAGGCTCGAAATGAAGAAAAAAAAATTCTTAAACTTAACTCGATTAAAGACTCAAACTCGAACATGAACCTTAAATACATGAAATCATATTGTATTTTAAAAAAAATCAATACATAAATATTAATATTATTATATTAATTTATTTTTTTAAAATAAAATCTTAATATATTATATTTTCGAGCTGTTCACGAGCTTTTCGAGTCGAATATCGAGTAGCTCGTTTCAGCTCGTTAAGAACTCGAGTCGAGTCCATTCGATTCGAGTATTTATCGAGCCTTGATCGAGTCGATCTCGAATAACTCACGATCTGTCTTGTCTCATTTACAGCCCTAATTGTATGTTCTGAAACTGCACAATAATGCTACCTTACAAACTATTAGTCCTTTTCACATTAAATTTGAGGATGGAGAATTTGGGACCCGAGCCCATTGAAACCTGATCTGACCCGATCCGGTTTTTTTAAGTTGATATTTGGGTCGGGTTTGGGTTTAGGTGAAAAATATCCGACTCAAAAAAAATATAATTTTATTTTATATATTTAGAAATAATTATAATAATACCATTCTCTCTATATATTTTTTCAATTAAGTCATCGTTTTTATTTAATAAAAATAATATTTTTATTATTATTTCGGGTCGATCGGGTCGGATTTCTAAGTTATATGTCGGGTCGGATGAAATTTTATTTTGATCGGGTCGGGTCTCGGTGGAGGATCTTTTGTTCTCGGGTAAGGTCAGGTGGACCAAAAACCCGACCCGACCCATGCACATCCCTTACAGTGTCAGAGAATAAAAAAAAAATTAAATGTGCACGAAACCTTTAAATTTATTAATAAAATTAATTAAGTCTTTTTTTTCAAATGAACTTTTAATAAAAATTAAATCTATTAAAATATTTGATTAATTTTGACTGTCAAGTCTTAACTATGTTTGTTTTCATAAGTTACATGTCACACTGTGATCTTGTTACATTAGATACATATAAATTTTTAAAGAGAAATTCTAAAAAATAATAAAATTCTAAAAATTTATTTTAGAAGTTAATAATTTTATAAAAAAATCATTTTATAACACTGTGATATAATTTGTGACCTTACTGTCGGAACCGTCTTTCCGGTTGGGCCACAGAATTGGGCTTCGACTTAGATTAATTGGGTTATAATTTGTGACCTTACTGTCGGAACCGTCTTTCCGGTTGGGCCCCAGAATTGGGCTTCGACTTAGATTAATTGGGTTGGAGTCGCCACCGACCACTTTAAAACGAATTTAGGTGGGTCGGACACCATCTTACCTGATATGCGTTGTACCAGAAACGTGTCGGGTTCGGGAGTCGATTACGGTCAAGGAAGGATTAGCACCCTTGAACCGCCCTTTCGGTACCGATTAATTTTCCGGTTGTCGTTATAGCGAAAAATAGAAAATTTAAATTTAAATTTAAATTACTCGATTCGAATTACTCACCTTTGATCAATTGAAATTTCTCTACAAAGTCAAAAATGTTAGGGGAAAGAAAAAAAAAATAAATATTGAATAAATAAAAGGAAGGAAAAAAAATAATACAAATGCTAGATTTTAAAAGTGATAAATTAAAATAAATAAAAGGAATAAAAATACACTAAAATTAAGGTAAAAATGAATAATTAAAAAAATGCTAAAATTAAAAAGGAGAAAAAAATTCGAGGACTAAATTATAACAAATTAAAATGGATGGGTTAACCAGGTACTAAAAAAAACTGCAAAATAAAAAAGTAAGGGGGCCAAATTGCAAAACAATGTAAATTAAAGTAGGGACTGAATTGAATAAATCACAAATTCAGAGGTCAAATTGCATACGGTGACCAGATTGTAAAGCGATTCAAACATACAGGGACTGCGGAGAGAATTAAAAAAACTTCTAATTGCAAAGAGGCCCCTGGTATATAAATATGAAAA